TGGCAGGATCTGCCCCATCTGAGAGCTGGCAGTTGCTGATGAAGTTTGCAAACAGCCCTAAACTAATTGTCAGTGCCTAGGAAATCAGCTGCACGGACCCAGGATCCCTTCGCCTGAGGCATTCAGTGCACGGGATTGCTCGTGCAGCACCAACAGCAGTGTGCTCCAAGGTACAACAGAAGCAAACAGACTAGAAATAGGTAAGAGCTCAAAAATGAAAATCTGCTGCATCATGGCTTAGTTCTGATGATAGTGAGGGGTGGCAGCTCCAGCTCTCTCCTGCTTTGCAGTGCTGGCACCATGCAACAGTAGAGCAGCAAGGACAATTACATAGCGTATTAATGTGCTCCAGTGATAGATGCAGAGGTCTGTTTGAAATACTAGATGATTCAGCTATTGCGCAACTGCTGTAGCATGTTTAGTATGTGCTAAGAAAGATTTACAACAGTTAATTTATTCCTTATTCCGCTTACTTCACTCTAGTATCATAATCAGCAGCAAGGCTTCTTCTCACCCATATTCCTTCTTATACCCAAGTATACTTGTCACAAAGTCTGACAGAGGCTGCAGTTTTCTGTTTGGTCTGTTTATGGTAAAGAAACACAACAAAACACAGCCTTTTATATATGTAGATATTTATTTTATAGAATCATTTTGTGTATGAGACATTAGTTTAATTGAAAAGCTCCATCCTGATATATCCATAAAGCCTGCTGTATTGTCAACACTTAGTAGAAGTCTTAAAAGAAGCTTGAACACATTGAACAGCTCTGTATTGCCATGCCAAAGAACGTGGTCCTTTTTCAGCTTAACAAACACCCTATCAGCATATTGGCATAGCATATTAGCTATGCCAAACAGGCAGCATATTCCATTTAGGGTGACTAATGAGTACACCGTGTGAAACTTCTACAATTCAATTTTGATGCCATCAGTATGAGGTGGTGTCGGTTTTGAACTGCAGTTTGCAGCCTGATCACTACCTGTTCCACACGGTCTGTGGTATCTGACAAGAGGCTGCTCTCAGTGGAAGAGGAAGAAAAGCACCAGCAGAAAGAGTTCACAAATCAGTGTCTGGGGATAAAGTTAAGAGCTCATGAAGGTTCAAACTTTCTGCTACAGGAGGTTGAAAACAAGAACCTAAAAAAATGTTTTAAAAAGCAATGGTATTTATATGGATAGCAGGAATCTCCACAGCTATTAATGACAAATTATTAAACCACAGGACACCTCAGTTCCAGTGAGCAGAAGACCTAATGGAGAGGTAGAACATCCCACAGCCAACTATTCTGCAAGTCTTGCTCTATCCTCTGTAACAGGCTGTCAGTGTTACACATGTACCTGTTATGAAACAGTCACTGTGCTAGCTGGACTTTGACAGGGGAATGAGAGCACTGCAGAGAATCAGATCATTCTCAGGGTCAAAGAATGGTGTGTCCACTGCCCTACTAGGGATGAGGGAGAGAAGAAATGCAAGTGTTGGCTGCAGAACTGTAGCAAGTAGGAGTCAGCTTGTTTACTCCTCAGTGGAATTAACTAAAAACCACACAAAGGAGAATGTGCCCAGTTAAAAGCTAAAAGGCTCATGTTAACGAAGGTAAAAACACTGAGTGCAGGGAACAGTATCTTCTAGGAGGCTGACACCTCTGCTGAGCTTCACACTTTAATACGCTGCAGGTATGTACCTATATTATCCCACTTTTCAAGTGGCAGGAAGTTAAGCAACTAGCAGAAGCCCACAGTACAGCTAGCCACAGCAGTTTAGAAACCTGAAACCTGCTAGGTCAACATTTTAGCCGTACAACCTGGAACTGTGATTAACAGTATCATGCTGTTGTTCTTCCCTTAATTCTGCCTCAGACCTTAACGCTAGTAACCAGCAACTATTTTCTGAAAAGTCTGTGAGAATAAACAGTGGTTTAGCAAATTAATTTTTATGCAGTTCTTCACCATGTCAGGTAGGGAACGCACCTGGCCAAGGTCAAGCCAACAGAAAAGTAAACATATGGAACCCCCTTTCTTCCACTTTCAAAACAAAACTTTCTTTATTTTAAAGCAGCAGCATTGAACTTCTGCTTTTGTGTAAGCATGCAGAATCCTTTTATGGACTGCGTGAACTATTTATTGAAACATTAACATGTAGAGTAAAGTAAACACGGACCTAGACCTCAAGAGAGTCACTTGAGAAGCTGAAGTGGGGGAACCACAGTCATGTGATTTGAGGATCTCAAATCACACATCATTAAAGACTTCCTCAGGGCATTACAGCTATCTAGTGTTCCTCTTCCCTCACAGACAGCAAGGGATACAGCAGGACTTTAAAAACAGGGATTGTTTAATCAACCCATGAGCATGCTCTAGCTCTGATAACCTGCTGCGGGCAAAGCAGAAGAAATGATTACCATCGAGTCTGGCAAATATTTCTTCAGTATCAAAATATCAAAGGAATAGTGTAAGCCACCTTTGGACCTGGCAGACCACCATCATAATCAACAACCACTACCATTCACCTGGTAAGAGAGCCAAGTCTGACATCACCTCCATGGGAGGTACATTCACGGACTACTGGGGAGAACATGCACTGTAAGCAATTCCTATGTGGTCCTGAGCCAGCTTACTCTTACATAAGGTTTCTCCACAGCAAAGGCTTTCAGCCTTGTTTACCCCAGCAATTCTAGGATTCCTGGTGTTTACAAACAGACCCTGTTCTGGCCCACAGGCAGAGACAATTTAATGTCAGGCCACAGAAGCTCTTAAAGAATTCTGTTCCCAAGGAAGACGAGTGAAAATTCCTCCCCCACACCTCTCGTCACCATGGGGACTACAGTCTGCTATAGCACTCCAGCTTTAAGACAAATGCATCTAAAAGCCCATAACAGTAGTAACAATGCTGTCATTCTAAGTATGTGCATCTGTGCACAGATTCACATGATAGACACAGGGACCAAAGAGCAAGGAGTAGAAAATTTTTTTCTCCAGAACGTCCCAGGCAGCAGCTGAACAAACCACATCTTCTTGCCATAATTATCTGATCAAAGTCTTGCTTTTGTAAATACAGTCTGTCTCTCTCCTTTGTAGGTAATTTCTGTTTGTTTTCCTCCCAGGAAAAATAAAAAAAAAAAAATCAAAACTCCTGTCTTAAGTAAAGTAGATAAGGTGCCAACAATTGGTCAAAGATTAAGATATCTTCTTAGTGGGGCACCAAATAGTGTCAGGATAGAGAAGACAGTGGACAGATTTAAATCTGTGAAGAAAAAAAAGAAGCAACATGAGACTGGAATTCTCCAGACTAGGAACATGTTAGCATTGAATGTGCAGCTGTCTAAAACAGAGCTGAGAAAGTGGCCCTACCTGTCTTTGGCACACTGATAAGAGCTAGCATGAGAAAATAATCCCATTACTGGATTTGATCATCTTGCAGTTGATAAGCACGAACAGGGCAGGGAGATCTTGTTTTGGAAGCGGACACTTACCGTGTTGGATCTTGCTGCAGGCCAAACACTCCTCCCACGCTCACAACATTGTGTTTGTTCTCAGGGTCCCCATAACTTAGGGTTACCTGGAAAAGCAAATAAATGTTCAGAAACTGAAACACAAACAGAATAACTGAGGGGGGATGGCAGGATTATTACTGAGGTATGAAGAAAGACTCCCAAGAGATCCTGCCCGATTCAAATGGTAGATTACTTTTGAAAGATAGTGGGTTGTTTTGACACAAGCAATATTAGTATGGAATGGTAGTGACCAAGTAAACCGCTGCTCATCCAAAGGAGATCTGGGAGAATAAACGGAAGAGCTGAAAGTTGCATTACTCTGAAGGACAAGGGCAGTTACATTTGTAAGCTTTGCAGTAGCACCAATCCTGCAAGTATCTGTACCTTAACTAAACAAAAACCCATATGTTCATCCTTACCAGGCATTGTCTGAAGTCTGCAAGTAGCAGTGTCTTAGCATAGAGGGAAAACAGAAACACTTGGATGTTAAATGGCATGCTAATGACTACCGCATGACAAACCTGGCCACAAAATTTAGAATTCTGGAATTCCAATTCAGAGCTATTCTTCCAAAGAAACACTGTATTAAGAAGTCTGCAGGTGCAAGGTATAAGACTGATATATAAAACTGATACAGTTTTCTGTTGAATTGTAGATCTCTCGGATTTTGGATGAGCTATTACAGTTTCAAGGAAAAAACGATCATCGACAAAAAGCCAGATTTGGCCTACAGTAACTTCACTAACATGAGTGAGGAGGTTACATCATGCAGGAATTTGGCCCCAGACGTACATTTCTGCTGTGTAATAAAATTTCCAGGAAAACATAAGCACACAGGGACGACCTCGCTCTTGTTTGTTCATGATGCCAATAGCTAGCCATCAGACAAACCTTCTGGATAGCCTTACAGCTCCATCTACAGTCTGTTAGTGAAAAGGTATCTGAGCAATGAAAAAAGTGTTTTATTTTCCCCAAGGAACTCTGATTAAGTTTCTTGAGAAGCTTATTTTCTTGAGATCTAGACAAGTCATTCCAAATATGATCAAACACTGAAATATATCTTGGTTATTGAGGTGGTTATGTGCTACAGATGCAATATTAACATTGTTAAATGGCATGAATCAAGACTGAGGCTTTGTTAGGTGAAGATGCAAGTACTTTCTCATGTAACAGGCAAACTGTAAGTGTTGCCTCTTTCTACACCTGCTGCTGTTGCAGCTCACGAGAAGTAAAGATTAGAAGGAGACAGGGAAAACTGTGTTTAGGCTAGATGTCGCAGAAACGACCGAAGGAGGGGACAGCTGTATGACCTAATTGGCTAGGTAGGAAGTGTGCTGGTTACCTGAATGACAGGACACAGCTCTGAGCAACTATGTAGATATCCTTCTTTGCTGAAAAGTGCTATGTCTATAGAGAGTGGTCCTTCTGATCAGGCTGAGGTATAACTATAAGGACAGGACATGAAGCTTAACCCTACCTGTTGCAGCACAGACTCGCCTTGTAGCCTCTGCAGGTTTTCCAGATGTGAATGGAACAACGGGCTGTGCAGCAGCTTCACCTCCAGGAGCCCTTCAATGATGTAGCCAATAGTGCAGTCATCAGGAAGACGCACTCTTTCTGCGGTACTGATGAAATTACCTAGGCTGTAAGAGAGAGTATAGGAGACATGATCAAATACACTTTAACTCATATGAAACATGTGACAGTGGAGCTCAACTATGAGCAGCCTTTACCTGGCCCAGGGACTCATCTTCAGGGCAAGACCTCTGCTGATACAGAACCCTGCTCCACCCGTGGCAAACCAGAATTTCACAGTTGTCTTCCAAAGAGCAGCAAGAAAAACAAACACATATGAGTTACTGATAATCAGCTTTTCCCATTTGGCTGGACAGGGAGACCGTCTACATGACTACATATTAACCCTATTTTTTTTAGGTTGCTGGAAGCCCAGCTGGCTGTTCTCTCAAAGGAAACTCCATTCTGGAACTGACACCAGGTGAACTATTGAGTTAGCACAACTGATGGAGCAGATATTAAAATGGGAAACTGTAGTCCCACTCCCACCCAACTCCAGCTGTCCCCTGGTCATTCTAGCCAAAGGTCACTGCCAGCTCAGTCTTCCTGAGGAAATCAAAGGCAATCAAATTAAATCCTGTTAATTGCTTAGCTCCAAGTCCAAGGAGACTATTTTGTTGTGCAAAGCTTTCCCTAACAAGCTGCTTTATAACTGACTTTCTGGACAGTGGATTTATCTTTAGGCCTGTCAGTATAGGGGACCTGGTAAGAACTTGTCCTTCAGCTTCTCACTGAGATGTGCTTGCTTCCACTGCCTGGAAACCCAGTGACCACTCAGTATTGGAAATGCCTTAAAATGAGCAGGGTGCCTTTGTCACCCATCTGAGGTTGGTTCAAGATGATGTCAATGTGATACTGCTCTCTCTCAAAAAAAAAAAAAAAAAAAAAAAAAAATCGCTTAAGGAAAAGAAAGAGTCAAAGCAAGGGGGTGGGGGCCTCCTCACCTCAATGTGAGGGAGAACACCAGCATACACAAATAAAGAAAGAGAAAGAGACATCTACCCAGGAGACAACTCTACTGTACACGTGAGCAGTACATGTGAGAGCAGAGCAAAGGTCCGTTTAACCCAGGACACTGTCTCCGACAATGACCAGTACCGGATTCATTGCTAGCCGATTAAGTCAGTTGTTTTTATGGGGGAACCTATGAACTGTCAAGGTTTTTAAAAGCTTGAAAAGTCAAGATGTCTCTCAGCATAATTGCAAAGCTTGCTTACTGATCCATCACTTTGAATGTGGTCAGCTGCTTCAATGGGGTGGTCCAGACTTGGTCGCCCCACATAAACATCCTGGCTGTGCGAGAAGGCAGATAAAAGACGCAGGAGAGTCCGTGGATTCACGTAGTTATCATCGTCCACGTGGCAAAACCATCTTCAAACAAAACAAAGACGAAAGTTACTACGGAGCAGTGTCAAAGAGCTGAGTCTTAAGTCTTTCAGGCCTGGAGCAGAAAGGATTTCCCACTGTCCTGGGTAACAGAGTTTGAGAACACCAATCGATCCCAATTCTGAAAAGAAGCTGAAACAAATAACACCCTCTAGGTTATCATCCTTGTTGCCTTTCAGATGACACTTGTTTATGAACACTGCTTCCTGCTGTGCTCCTTTCCCTATGCTCATCCCCGTGTTTTAGCTAATGCTACCTCCCTTGCCGGAGCAGAGAAGGATTCTGAAGTTTCCAGTGAACACAGAACTGTAAGAAATAAAGTTACAAACAGAACAAAGTGTTTCACCTACTTTTGCCCAGATTCTAGGAATTTATCATATTCCACAGACATCTTGCAGCAGAGAGCTTGCCGGGTGTGGACAGCAGAGCAGTTGGTGTTGATCATGTGATCCCCTAGGAAATAAAGGTCAGCCTGTCAGGTTTGGGATGCACGTGTCATCCAAAAAAGACAAAGGGCACATTTGGCGCTAGAAGTCTACATCTGAAGTGCGTATGGCGCACACGCGCAGAGTAAACTGTGGGTCAGGCAGGGCTCATGGGTTGTGCATATGGCATGCAACTGCCAAGCGCATGGAAGTGTGTTTAGGGTGCAGGGCATATAACTAGTACCATGAGACAGTATGCAAAGAAAACGCCTAATACATCTTTTGACCAGACAGACTGAAGCTTACTAACATGAAGGAAGCAGGTACAAAGGTGGATCCGGTGAACACTATTCAGGAAGTTCCAGGGATCTCATCCAGGTGGTAAATAAGAACAGCGTTTTCTCCTGCGAAAGCTTCCACCTTAACTTCCCTAATTGCTTGCACAGCATGAAATAAGGCCATCTAGTGAACGCGTGACAGAAACAAAACTCAGCTATAAAAGACAGCATGCATCTAAGCGACACAACTCACCTGCTTTTAGGCGTAGCTCCCGATCCTCCCAGTCTGTGAATATAAATGTCTACGGAAGACAAAAAACAGGTAGGGGGTAAATGTATTTTCCTTTCTGAGGATTTCAAAAGCTAATTTCAACTTTGATCAGTTCAAGCCAGAATTCTAAGTATTTTATCTCATTGACTTGCTCCATAGTAGCCATGAGGGGAAAAAAAACAAAAAAACACAGAAACTTTAGCTTTCGCCTTATGTGACAAGATTCCGCACTGCAAATCGGAACAAAGAAAGCAAGGCATCCAAGAGTTTACCCTCCTTATCTCAGGGCACAGATAACCATTTTCCGATAGGAAGATGGTTGTTTGTGGCAATATCTCCCTCTGCAACTTCATCTCCTTTCCCTTACTAGGGGTCATTCCACAACTATTAAGCAAGCTAAAGGAAGAGAAAGCCAGGGTGGAAAGCGTCACGGGGGGGAATAGTATCCTGCCCCAACTGCTGGGCAAGAGTGCGCTAAGATGCTTAAATGCAATGAAAGCCCCTAAAGAATCACCGGGATCAGCACCGGGGATCTTTCGTTATCGTTTAGCGTCTTCCCCTCTCACACAAAATTCAGCGAACGGTTTCCGATAGGACCAGTGATCCCGAAGAGCAAGGAACGGGTTTGCCTCAGGCAGCAGCAGCCCGTTCCGGAGTCGCCTTCAGGCGAATCTCACCCTCCCGAGGAAGCGCCCGGCCTCCGGCGGGGCCTCACCTGCCCCTGGGCCCGCGAGATCCACGTCTGGAAGAGCAGGTCCAGCCGCGTCCTGTGGTACTTCCTCGTCGTCTTCACCGCGATGAAGATGTCCTCCAGCTCC